CATATGCTGTCAATACTCCAGAGATGTCCCCAACTGATGTCAAATCACTGGTGTTGGGAAATCGTGAAGTAGATCTATATCCGTGTTTTTCAATTCCCTGGTGCAGGGCAACAAATGTTGCTCCTTTACTGCAACCCTTTGGTGAATATTAGTAGTAACCTCTCGCAACTTCTCCCCGACATCCACTTGGCGTGCCATTGTATGCTTCAGGCCACAATTGTCGCTTTGCAAACACTCACTGGCGGTAGCTAATCCAGTAAGTGAAATAAAGTAAATAAAGAGTGGTATATTTTCCCTGCATTCATTCATAAGCTTTAAACAACTTTTAATGGCGTTCACACCTTTCTGATTTCCTGTAAGGGCCACATTACCGGTGCTTAGAATTGTGACATGGCTCAAGCAGGACCTTTGTAGAGGATTTCATCCACAAATGTGTTTGAAGCAAGCAGCTCAAGTTCATCCTTTCACATGGTTCTAATTTTAACTACAAGGACGTTTAGAAACTCATCCTCTACTATAAGGTTTCCATTGATAGTCTTGTTGATCTGCAGTTTTGTTAAGGGGCGACTGGAGCAGAGAGCTTGTATGCCGAACTCCTCTCCATCCATAATCTTATCAGTATTATTATCTTTTTTTTTGTTGTTTTGTTTTTTGCAGGCTTCCTACTTCTGGCCTGACCTGAATAGCTTTAATTCACTGTTTGTTTGTATTTGTTTTTTTTTTTACAAAATCGATACAAAGTAGATTGGGAACTTCTGAATTATGTTATTGATTATGCATGTTGTTTTATATGAAAATTATGCTTGATTTTTTAAGAAGAACATTACTCTGTCTCTTATTCTGCTTGGGAGTGGAGCTCAACAATTTTCTCGCAAAGTTGTCCTAGATGACATGGAGATCCAATCTTATCAAATTGTGCTGTGTTTTAGCTGGATACTGTTACTACTCACCAACAAACCTTGTCCTGGCTGTGCTCCTTCCTGTTCACAGTAGACTCAGACAGCAGGGGGAATAAATTGAGCCAAAGTGTACCCCTACTTGATTGTATGGCTTCCAATACAACCTAAATAGAGCTTATAAAGTTGCCACCCTACAAAGCTTGGCCCCCGTTGGGACATCTGATATTACTGCTTAAATGTCTGTGAGCAGGTGGGAGGTATGTCTATGCACAGTTCATACAACTCATGTTTGTGGGCAGCCTTCATGTTTGCTGCTGCATGTTTATGTGAGCCCATGTGCACATGCAGGGAATAATCAACTCCAGATGAGATCTGGGTATCTGCCAGCTTCCCAGAATAGCAGCAAAGATATCGTTGCAGCCCTCCTACTGGCCTCGGCAAATATTTTAGCAACTTTATGTTTACCTTCACACTCGAGGGTTCTCACTCCATCACTCCAAGAGCCTCTCTATCAAAATGAACCTGCTTTCCCTGAAGTAAACCCCTCAGCAGAGTCCAAATTGGGCAAACTTTGCAATATGCTGGCCTCATATAGATGCCTGAAAGAAACTCCCCAATGCTTTGCTCCAAAAAAAGCATATTCCTGTATCTGTCAGCAACGACACAGCTGCTTTTCCTATCCTGTTTATTCTTCAATGTTCCCATATGTAAAAATACAGAGATACTTACAGGCAACAATGCATTCCTCTCACAGTGATTGATGAGATTTTTCCATTTTTTAAGTCCTGCTCAAAAGTATAATAAAAAAGTGTCTAAAGTAATATAAAACAACATCTGTCCTATGTGTGTTTCCTGTTTTTACAGGGCTTTGTAAAATTGTGCATACCAGTTGAATGTTCCACATTTTGTGATGTTAAAACCACAAATTTATTTATTTTTTTTATCTGGGTTTTGTGACAAACCATAAAGGAATGAAAGCTGTCAGATGTTAAAAAAATAATACATGGTTTTGTCAAACTTTTACACGTAAAAATCAAAATGATGGGGTATATTTAAACTTTACTCGGAAATCCTTAACAACCAAGTGCAAGTCTAACCTTAACCCTAGTCTGTGTGTGATTTAATCCAAGTATAAATCAAAAAAAGGTTTTGAAAGACTCAAAGGTTTGCTAAAAAACCTTAGTGTACCAATGACATTGGGTACTAAACTGGAATCCAACTTTCCAACAGTGTACTGTTTAATATATAACTAAAGGCAAACCAAGATATGGCCTAATCAGTGAGAGTGGTATACTCTTGGTTTTGGCTGCCATTTTAGTTGAAGTTGGTTTTAGTCGTTTGGATGAAAATGCATAGTAGTTTATGTGAAATATTCAATATTTTACAGCTTTAGTCTAGAATTAGTTAACAAAAACCCATAAAAATTATTTATTTTCCACATTAAATGTAGGTAGCATTACCCTGGCAAACCACATTGATAATGTGTTTAGATCTACACATAAATCTGAGATTGCTAGGGAAAGGAGGGTAATTTATAAGAACCTTCCAGGCTGATTGGGCAAAGCGGCCCCCCAGTGCCAGCCTACCAAAATGTGGTTTTAGCCAATCAGTGTTAACAAATGAAAATGTTAAAGCTGTCTTGAGAAACCAGAGCAATATGCTTGTGACACTCTTGCTGTTCCTCCTTCAAAGATAAATTCATGGATTGTGACTAAACAGAAGCATTAGCTGCATGTACACATAAGTGTTGTTTATCTTGGTTTGCCACTGGGCTTAGCAAACATTTGCTTCCATCACAGCAATATATCCCCCCTTAAACCATACTACTGCAATATGATTTTCCCACTAGTTTTGGGTTTGTCTCCGATGGCTGCAGGGGCAACCTGTATTCTCATGAGTCTTTGAATGCACAAATACTGCAAGAAGTTAACCTGAAGGACAGGATAAGGTATCATTGGTTATTAAACTTATTTATGTATGTGTGTATTTGCACACTGTATATATTCTAAAAAATTTCCTACAGTCACAAACAGCATGTTACATATCATTATCTGTTTCACCACATCAATTTCAATATCCTGCTTTGTTCAGAAAATAAAACTGCCTTAACTATCAAACAAAATGATGAAAAGGATTTTTAATAGCTTAGTATTCACACGTCTGAAACCCACTCTGTCATGATCTGATATGGATTTTTGGTTCTGTTCAAGTTTTCACTTTAGGTTTCAGTCACACTTTGATTTATATTTCCATTTAGAGTAATTTAAGTTATTTTCTGATAATATTTAAGCACTGTTTTATTTCTTGGTTACTCTCTGTTGCCCCCTGGTGCCTCTCTCCCTTCCCCCTAGCTCCCTTCTAGATACTTCTGTTCACACCTGCTCCCCATCAATTGATTACTCCATTCATTTACAGTACTCCTCCCTGTTTAGTTATTGCTTAATTTATGCTTCTGTTGCCACCACTCTAATTATGAAATCTGCAAGAAACCACCTTATCTTCCCTCTCTGATTTGGGTCCTATACAAACCTCCACTCAAATTGACACACTGAACTAAAGCTTTCTGATCTTTCTTCAATATGCACCAAGCAGAGGCACTGTATGGGGGGTGTTAGGAATATTCCAAGGGCCTTTTATTGAGGGGGGCCCTAAAAGAAATAGGAAAGATATGGCCCCAAATATAAACAAGAAAAATCCTGCAGTAAATTAAATTATTTTGTGTTCTCCATGTTCTTTCAGCATTAAACAGTAGATCTGAATGCTGAAATTGAAGGTGAAAGAAGGTGAACAACATTGTGTTCAGGGACAGGCCAGTTAGCATCATTACAGTCTGTGGCATTTTCTCTCTTTTTACCAATTCAAATGCCTAAAATGAAACTTTATATATATATATATATATAAATTGAAACACAATTTTTTCAAGATATTGACCATGATAAAATTAAATGTCCTTGCAGTTGTTTCTACAGGTTTCTGGATAGTTGAATGCAAATATTGTGTAGCCTCCAGTAGCCTGTATTAAAACCACTGTCAATCTTAAAAAAAGTTCAGCTAGATTTTTATATTCAGATTGAATTATAGCCATTAAAAGTAATATGTAAACTTGATCATTCTCATGAGCAGGCTGAAACAGCTACACCAAAAATAAATTTATTTTAATGTCAGTGCACATATACGTCAATGAAAAATAAATTCTCAGCCACAGCATAAAAACAATCTGTCCTTTGTTTAAATTTATAGCAAAACGAAATAGTCTAATCTTCTTTTCATGTGTACATAGATACATCTTTTTTTTTGTTGTTCTAAAAAAGTTTGTAAAGTTTAAATTTAATGTATATTTTACTTTTTTGGGGATATTTTTTCTTTTTGTACAGTAAAAATGATATTGAAATGTAAATGATACACTTCGGTGCATCTTTATAGCAGTTTTAAAGCTTGCATATTTTTTGGGGTAATTTCTATGAATGTCTTTTATGGGGCACTATAAATGTCTTTCAAATTAGTGGCAGTGGGAGAACAGCAACCAGTCTAAAATGCTACATCTCCCATCATTACATATCACTTAAAAACTGGTAATTCAATTCCAAGAATTTTACAAAAACACATTACTTGTAGTTGTAAACTCTAATAATCTTACTTTTCATGAGTGACTAACAACCATAAAAAGACACGTCTTGTCAGAAGATTAGGGGATATTTGCAACATGCTGTCTCAATGTGCAGGCTGTTTCTTTGCACAAGGAATTTAGAGCTTCGTATTTGGAGTTTTATTTGTTTGTGGGCTACATGTGTCAGAAATTTTAGTCAGAGAATCATACTAAAAACGTGATGCTTCCCTTCAAAATCATGCTATTAACAGCATCATACTAAGCATTTTTGCTCCAGCAGGGTTTTTATCTATCAAAATAACAGAGCTATGCATTCTGTGTTTGATTGTATGATTTTGTTTTCCTTTCCTTTGGTTCAAGACAGAAAATCCTAATAGAATACTTTTGCAAAGTATTGTAACTAATGAATAACCTAATGGAAGCTGGCTTCTTACGATGCAATTTCTTATTTCTTATGTATGTTGTTTTATTTTTTTGTTTGCTTTTTATTGCAGTGCCGTCCATCCAAAGGAAGGAACCGGGGCTTCTGTTGGTGCGTGGACAAATACGGGCAGCGTCTCCCAGGCTACGATGACAAGCAGGGCAAGACAAAGTGCTATCACCTGGAGAGTAAATGAGAAAGAGAATAGATAAGACAGTATGTGGATGGAGAGGGAGAGAGGGAGAGAGGAAAACAGCAGAAACAAGTGAGGGATTAAGAGACAAAATGAAAGGAACAAGGGGAAAAGAATGAGGGCCTGTTTTTACTGTTGAATTTAGAATGATGTAAACATTTGAAGAACTTTGGTCCTTTGAAAGGGGAGGGGAAGGGGTGAAGCACAGCCTCCTGAACTTTACAGCTGTCACATATTTAGGGGACCTTCAGTCTTTTAATAAAATATACAAAAGACAGAAAAAACAATTAAAAAAGAAATTAAGGTGAAAAAGAACAGTAGGGATGAAAAAGAATCCTATCATCTGCACTATTCTTAAAGAGGGAGTGGAAGGAGGGAATTTCCCACTCACTTTAAAGAAGACTTGTTTATGACTGAGACCACGCCCCCCTCCAAAAAAGTTGCACCAACACAATCTATCACGTGTGTTTGTTTCACATGTGTTACTGCGAGGTTTGTTTGTCTTTTAATCTGCGAGCACCTGCATAACCTACGTTATCACAGCTGTCTGTCTGCAAGATGGTGTGAAAGCATGCTGTCTCAAAACAGCTGCCCTTTCTTAGACCCCTTTCTATCAAACTTTGCAGAAAAAGACAACATCTTGCTCAGGATTTATTTTGTATTGCAAGGTATATGGAACTGCAGAGTTGATTTTATTTGAGCGCACTCACCTCCTTTGTTTCTTGACTCTTTGCTGTTTGTCACACATGTGCAAGGCTGGAGGCAAACTCTGCAGTTAGTGCCTTAACATATTTTAATGCCTTTTGTTTTTCATGCTCGTTAATTATGATGCAAGCAACATATTGAATTTAAAAAGTTATCTTCCATCATCACAAGTGTGTCAACCAGGGGCGGATCTAGGATTCTAGGAGATCAGGGGCTTAGCCCTGAGGGTGCAGATGTAGACTCCTTTTATTCCTTCTTTTTTTTTTTGCCGCCTCGCACACAAAACCAAAATTTGTGTGTACTTCAATTCACGCAAGCAGAGAGGCGCTGAGAACCATCTCATCCAACCCAATCAACTTTATTTATATAGCACATTTAAAACAGAAACATGTTGACCAAGTGTTGCACATATAAAATACATAATAAAATAAAAAAATCATAAAATAACATAAGAGAGCAATTAAAAAAATATAATAAATACAATGAAATGAAATGGGGAAAATCAGCTAAAACATTAAACAGCACACAGTTCCTTAACTGTGCTTATTCCTCTCTTCACCAACAACAAATCATGTGGATTTGTTGACATGTGTGCATTATTTGCCAAAATTAAAGGAGGGGAACCATACATTTTAGCTGACTGAAATAATCTGTTCCCCCTTTTATGATCTTTATCAAATGTATTTTCTGTTTAAATATTTATCTAAAAATGTACAAAAAAAGTTCAAACTAAAACCACTGGACTATGTTTTCCTCCAGACATTTTAAATTAAGAATTAAAATACATTTCATAAAGATCATCAAACCAACAGTGAGATTTATTCGAACTATTTTGGATTTCAAAATATAAAATAATAAATGTTTCAAACATAATATATGAAAAATAATGGAGGATTTGTTTCTTTTTTCCCATGGGGGAATGGATTATATCAGGTGGCTAAAATATTTAATTTCCCTCTCATAACTCTGGCAAAAAATGATCAAATGTATTCCAAATCCACAGTTTGTTGTTGATGAAGAGAGGAATAAACACAGTTAAAGTGTTGCAGGTGAATTAACCCCCCCCCCCCCCCCCCCAATAAATAAAGAGCAACTGTTTCCAAATTCCCAAAAATTGTTATGTGTGATATCATGTCATATACTAAAAATTCCCTTAGTAATCTCTCATATTTCACATTGCCCTTTAAAAACAAAACGGCGTAAGAAGACCTCGTCTACTTATTTATTTTACAATTTTTTAAACAACAGCTGTCGTTTAAACTTGATGCTACAACCTTTACATGATTGTGAGTTATTTTTACCAAGAAATGGATCAGAAGCGCAGATCCGCAAGATGCGCCTATCTGGCTTCAATGCGCGCTCCCAATACAGGGAGGACAGATTTAGGGGAACAGAATTTCACAGCAGACCGGGAGAAAAAAAGGCTCTGATTCAGTCAAAGCTTCACATACCTGGGACATCAGTCTGTTTAGCAACAACTGGTGGTGGTGCTGGTAGTCCAGCTGTTTGCTTTTAAAAAAAGCTTCTGATATCCATTGATATCCGCCACTGGCCTATCCCTGTTTAAATTTGCTGCGCCGAGGTGCACGACTCCTGAACCTGGCAATGACGAGAGGGAAACACTTCTTCTTCTGCGTGGTAATGCTACAGGCTGCTTTCCTGCACATGCTGCCACCATCTGGTGAATTCCAGTACTTCACATTTTACTCAGATCAGCTCAAAAGCGAGGATCCGGGGCTTTTAGGGAAACATCAGGGGCTGAAGCCCAAGTAGCCACCCCCTAGATCCGCCTCTGGTGTCAACCAGCACCCACATGATGACACATTTCTAAAGTTCTAAGACAATTTTAAGGAAAAGGTAGATTAGCATAACATCTTGCAACATTCTAATAGATTTCCTGCTGTGTTTATCTACACTTTGATGAAAACGGAATATAAAAAATACTTTTCCAATCTGATTAGGGATTTTCATAAAATTAAAAAGCCGGCCAAGATAATGAATCTAATAAAAACATGTTGGTGTGTTTTTACACATGACATTTCCCTTCCAGTTTTTCTTTTTAAATTCTGTTGTTAGAATTTACAGTTTACTCACACCTTTTTTAATCCTTCTAGTCATCTATCTTTTCCTTTAAGTTCCTGATGCCGTTTCCTTCATGTCCATCAGTTGTTCAACAGGATTTGGCTGGTTCAGTATTTACATCTTCTTTGATTGGTTTCAATTTTTGTATTGGTGGAATCAGTTGTGAATGTTTTGCTCTGCCATAGGTGCAGCTGCCCCCTATGCTTCAAGCACATGCACTTATAGCACTTTAGCTGTCCTGAGGGGTATTTCATTAAACTTGCTTAGAAAAGCCAGATTTTAACATGCAATTCTGACTCTACTTAAACACAACATGTTAAGTGGCAATTACTGGGTCTTACCAAAATAAATAACCTCATTTGCATAATGTCACCAATACAAGATAGGTTCAGCTAATCAGTGTTGCAGTGCTGGTGATACCTGAATTAACCATGAGGCAAAACATGAATGGTTGTTCAGAAATTTAGTCAAAAATTAAAAGGGAAAAACTTTGGCCATCAAAAAAACCAGGGAATGGGGTCGGTAGTTCTTTGTTGATATATTAAATGTGTACATTTTTATCTTTTTCAACATGCAAATTATTTCAAGAGACATGCTAATTAAATGTGATAAACCAGTGTCAATTTTGATGTTTGAATTAAGTGTTAGTCTATAGACTAAAGACAAAAATGTAATATCATAGTGAAAATTTGTTCAAAAAGCTAGTCCCCATTATAGTCTAGTCTGAATTCTGAATTTAAGACAAGATCTGGATTTTAGTCAGCAAAAATCTTCTTTGAACTAAAAAATTAAAAAAATATAATCAACAAAATGACCCCCCAAAACCCCCACATTTAACTCTTTCAGATATACCAGTGATGTAATACACACTTTGCAACAAGTAAAACTTAAATATAAAATCCTACTTTAAAATGGAAAGCTGCAAATGATAAAACTGTCTTTATATCAATAAGGTAATAAAGAGATTCAAGCACTAGAAATATGGGTAGGATTTTCATCATTACGGTATATAACTATTCATATTAACTGATTTGCAGCTGCAAAAAAAAGACAACTTTACATTGTGTCTGTAAAGTCAGTGTAAAGTCAATGTGTAGGCCTCTGCAGAGTAGTTAGTGCATGGTCCTGGTTGTTTTGTGGGATGGCTGAGGTCCAAACAGAACCAACAGAAGTGTTTCCATGGTGGCTATAAAGAGGATGCTGTATGCTTCCTATCTCCAATTCAGTTAATATTGGGACGTCCTGATATTCCTCTCCACGGGTAAAAGCTATATGGATGCTCAGAATCCTTTGCTTGACAGGACATATAGGCAGAGCCTAACCCAAGGAGTTTGACAAAAATACATTATTTCATGACATGCACTGTGTGTGAAACATGCCAGTGTACACACCTTCTTATATGTTTTGGGTTTTATAATGGAGCGCTTCAGTTATTCCCTACATTTTTGTAACCTTTGTTTTCTGCAATTCTTTTCCAGAAAGCTGTAGACCTAATTTGACCAGCGTCATTTATGTGCATGTCTGTCCCGTAATGAAGTAAGGATGAAGGCTGTCTGGATTTAGCACAGCAGGAACTTTTTTTTTTTTTCCCTGCTTAGAGGTTCTTACTGTTGGTGCCATAAAGGGTGAAGGGATATGAGCTATGAACAGGAGCTAGAAGCTTCGATTAGAGGTATTAGGGAGGAGCTGCGGTCCAGACTAGGCTCAGTTCACTGGGCAAATTGCAGTTGTAACCGAGTCAGATTAAGGATGAGGAATCAAACCAAAATGACAACAAAATAAACCAGACTTGACCAACTAAGCCTGGCTTATGAGCTAAGCAAGTTTTATGAAAAACCTCTCTGATCTCAACAATGTAGGCAGCTCAAGACAGCTGTACCTATCTGTGTACCTTCCCAAGGTAAATTTAACAGCAAATTTTCCCTTGTAAAAAGCAGTGAAAGTACATTTACAAAATTAGGCTGCAGTTTTTTGCAGAAGGTTTACACACTGCCTATTTTTGTCCTTTCAGGTAGAAACCTTGATGTAAATATTTAAAGTGATCTTAATGTGCAGTTTTATGGACTTTCTAATGTTTTTTTTTTATGTTTATTTTTGGAAATTTGAGCCATTTTTCTCTCTAGCCTTGTACCTCAACATATAGTATTGCAGTATTACATATTGTGGAAAGTATTTTTAAGAAATACTTATAAGTAAGTCACATTATCTGAATGCCTTTGCACCCATGTAAGGGTGTGTTTTTACATAAATAACATTTAACATGGATAATACATGAAAGAAAAAAACAATCAAGGTTTTTATTTTAAAAGAAATATGCTTACATTTATTTTTGATCATTAACACAGATATGTTACAAAAAATGTATTTTCTGGCATTTTTTTCTCACTTCTACACCAGAATTAAATTGACTTTTGAAATGGTGAAAAGAACACATCTGTGTTAAAGATGTATTCCTGTGGACTAGATTTCCATGTAACAATGGTTTAGCTATTTGTGGTATTGTTTTTTTTTAACTATAACTTCAAACTTCTCACAAACTGGAAAGTATGTGAATACTGTTGTCAAAGCAACAAGGAATTACTAAATAACATTTACAAATATGTTTTATTAAGCATTTGCATGTAATTTTAAGTGATACTGTAGATGAACAATGCAGTGGGAAATGCACAAAGTGAAACAGCCAGAAAATTTATAAAACTAAAAATAAGCCTTCTTATGCTAATGATGGATATGTGAATAATTAAAAGTCTGGATGCAAGGAGGTAAATAGCTCCACCTTGTTAAATATAGGCTCTGTGTATGCTCAACTAAAGTTGAGAGGTAATGTGGAAAGTTCTTTGAAATGCAGGAGAGAGAACCTGCTACTGGTTGAGAAGTTTAAAGATAATGCCCTTATTTCACAAAGAACTATAAAAAAATACTAAGAAAAGTTACTGCTTTCAATTCAGCTTTTTGTTTGTCATAAATGATACTTCAAAATTTGAATAAGTTTTCTTTATGACACAGAGGTTTAATTTTTTGTCTTATCTATTGTGGCTCAACACCGAATACTTTGTCCAAAAATAGATATATGCTGAACTGAATTTGACC